TAATGTCTAAGAACGAGGTTGGCTTGAAGTATAGTAAGAAACAAGATCCCCATAGCCATTTTTCATCTGTAAGTATGGGTGCCAAATGAACTCTATAGATATATCTAACACTTCAAGAACACTTCTCTTTGTACTCTAATTATGCCAGGCCGAAGTTCTATAATTATTTTTGAAGAGAAAGCCAGATGAAAAAGTAGTTGGTGAAAGATTCAGATTAGATATTAGAGCACAAACACTAAATCTTTCTCATAAGCATATCTGAATAAAAGAAATATGGATATATGTTAGAATCTTATGTCGACCAATTGATGTTTCAGTCTTGGAAAGATATAAATACAATAGCCTATAAAGTGATCCTAAATAAAAAAGAGCTAATGAGAAACACATACCTTTAGCAATTTTAATAGCTATAGGAATGTGAGCTGAATTAATTCCATCATTTGGCCATCCTAGAAATATATGTCGAACTAACCACATCATTAACAGTGCTTTCAATTCATACTAAGAATTAGAAAATTTAAAAGAGTTACTTTCACCTTTTTTTGCTTTAAATTTGTAAAAAAAAAAAGTCATACTTAATTAGATAATCTAGCTACCTTTGATTTATCCCTTTGGCACTTGAGTAAATCACAAAAAAAAAGCTATGAATTTTCTCCTTCCTTTCAGACAATTCAATAGTACAAATATTATGTTTCCAAAGACAATGAAGTTCAAAAAGAACACGTATGTCTTCAAGAGTAAAAGTGAACTATCCTCAAGCAATGATCATAGTATGAGAAAAAGTACTCCATCTAGCAAGAATAGCATACCATACATCCTTTCTACCTTCCCTACGAATATGAAGTTTGGATGTAACTCATACAACATTAAGCACTCCTACTGAAGATAAAACTTTTATATAAGTAGGCTTTTCAATTACTTTGTTCACCCAATCTTCTCAACCTTGAACAGGTTGTGAATTTGAACCAAACTTAGTAACAAAAAGTGAAAATTCTTCACACTCAAACTTGAACTTCAGAATAGAGAAACTTGGAATATAAATTATATAAGTCGATGCTTCAGGACCAACACTTTGCCAAGAATAGCCAACATGAGCACTTTGATAAGAAGAAAATTTTCTCTCACGCACTTTCCTCCATTTTTAATGATTTTATCTGACCAATTTTCAAGGATAAAAAGAAGTACACAATTCTTTCCAACGCAAAGACGTACTTTCTTTTCAAGATGCACTTTTAGAATAGAATCTTTTGGAATACTATTTTTTTTCCTCACAAGAGCTCGAGCAATGTGGGAAGGCTAGCTATAATTGATTCTTAGCATTGACAGTGAAGAATACCTACAAGAAATTGGCAACAAAATTTAGATTAGTTTTTCTTAAACACACATAATAACTTTTTTATTTATTCAAAAAAATAAAAAATCAAATAGCCTAAAAAAAGTCAAATAGTAAAAAAAAAAAAAGAGAGATGAATACTTACTTGTTCATAAGATCAAAATTTTTTTCAAAAGAATTAGATTTTCACTTAACTTTGAATTGAAAATTTTCTCAATATAATTTATAGAGTCAAGAGAATCAATTTTTTTTAATAACAAACATTTATTTTCCTTATTTAAAAAGATCTTTAACAAAATCTTTAAAATTTTAATTTTATTCTTCAAATTTCATTAGATTTTTTTCTTAAAAAATTTTAACACTTTTTGATATCCTATACAATATTTTACTATACTGTTATAAAATTTTCATTTAAGAATAAGATTCACTTCATTATTTATTTAATTATTTTACTTATTTTATATCTTGAAATATTTGCCATAAGATTTCACATAATGCTCTATATTCTTAGTTTTCAATATAAATCAATTTATAAGTAATAAAAATAATAATAAATAAAAGCAAAGAAGTCAAAGATTCCCACCATTCAAGTCCGATGTCAATAAGTTAAAATTGGCCTTATTCTTTGTGTTTCAATGTAAAACATTTTGGCTAAGACATCAAAACGTGTATAATATATATTTTTTATGTTGAAGCATATATTGACTCAAACATATAATAAATACCTACATTGATTTAGCATTTTCATAAATCATGAAGATTTATTCGTTTTACACATGATTTTCGTTTAAGGAAATGGTGTAACAATAAAATAGAACAACTTCATTATTTGTTTTTTTTTTTTATTTTACTTTTAAGAAACATTTTTATTATTGATTCTTTTTAATAGTTTCTTTTTTTTTAGGGAAACACTCCCTTACTTATTCATTTTAATAATTCTTCTATTTTTTAAAAAAAAAACACACCTAGTACTTGTTTCTTTTAATAATTTTCTTTTCTTTTACGGAAATACTCTCTCACTTATTCCTTTTAATAGTTTTTCTATTTTTTAGGGAAACACTTTTATTATGATTCTTTTTTTTTTAAAGAAACACTTCCACTACTTATTCTCTTATTTTCTCAAGAAAACACTTTAACTACTTATTCTTTTTTTTTTTTAGAGAAACACTAATGTTATGGCTTACACTTTCATACATTACTTGTCTAACAGGTAACTCTTTAATTTACAACATTAAAATTTGCTTGTTCTATGCATGAAACATTATTTGATTTTCATCAAACAATTTTCATACAAGGGGCAATGAATCCACACATTTACACCCACAAATATATATACACATTTACACCCACAAATATATATATAAATTTTTTTCTTTCATGAAACTTATATCATACATCTTTAAATTATAAGAATAAATATATTTTATTTTCATATTTTTTTTCTTTTACTTTTTCATTATACTGGTGCATGAGAACTTCTTATATTAAGAATTCTCATGCAGAGGCAAAATGTAGATAGCTGATTTGGTTACTAATATTTTATTCTCTTATATTTCTCAGAAGTTGTTAGAATTAAAAATAAGTCAAAACATGTATCAAGACTGTTTCAGTGAATGTTATTTTATGGACGATGTGATAAGACTGTTTTGGTAAAAGTTATTTTACAGAATAAATATTCGTAGAACAACCTTTTTACAAAATAGCTATTTATGGAACAACTATTCAAAGAACAATTCTTTCATAAAATAGTTATTCTTGGAACAACCTTCTCAAGGAACAAAAGTAACACCTTTATTAAAAACTCTTGAAACACAATTTGCTTCACTAAGAGTTATTCCACAAAAGATTCACCGAATATTATTTCATTGAAAGAAGAAGTGAAAATAACCCAGGAATATAATAGGGTTTTTGGGTTAATTCCACTATTAGAATATTCCAAAGAGTTTGGTTTGATGGATTAGATATGGAGATAGTTAAAAGGTTTCCTCTTAACTTTCCCTTGAAATATGAATGCTTCTCTTTTTTTTTTTTTCCAGAATAGATAATGAACTTTTATTTTTGCTATACCTATCACTAAAAGCTAATTAGACTCCCATTAATCAATACATTCATAGATTTTGTAATGGTCAATTTTTTTATTATTCACTATTATTCCGATTCAATATTCAAGATATGTAACTCTTATTCTTGAAGACCTATAAATAAGAGTTCCTTAGTTTATTGAGAGACTTTTAGAGACTTTTGCTAAACTTAAAATAGGAGTTTCTTCAGTTCATTGAGAGACTTTTGAAGATTTTTGCCAAACTTACTCAACTCTCTTTGCAATTCTCTTCCTAAATCCTTTTTTCAATCTCATTCTCTTTTTTACTTAGCCTTACTACACCATCTAACTTCACTTGCCTTTGCACTCAATACTTCAGGATTTGCTCCAACTTTCATTTTTGCCGTCTTCCTGAACATCTTGTTTTACTTGTTTGTAATGCCACCTCACCTCAACAAAGAACCTATTTACACCCCTATAGCCATAGCAGGCAACCAATGGATGTTCAAATCCTAGAAATTATTCCAATAAAGCATCGTTAGCTAAATAATTAATGTAATAGTCGAATTCTAATGTTAATAATTTCTTATATGGATAAGAGTAACCGACCAGGCTTCTTTGGGTAGCTCAAGACTGAAGAGGGAATACATGACTAAAAAAACATCTACGTAAGTGGTTGCAGCTAATAGAAGGTTGCATCTCAATTGAACAACCGCTTGCTTCAGTTTCTGATTAAAATACTAAGGCACTTCATTGTGAGATTTTGCACAGCCGGCGTTGTCCATTTGTGCTGCTGCATCGCTTGGCAGATTGACCAAATTGTATGGAAGGAAGACATCCGATTATCCAAAATGATCCATGGCTCCCAAATTGTGCGACAATACAACCGTAGGAATTCATATCTTATTGCCAATGCATCATGGGTAAGGGTAAGCCCATTCAGCCCCAAGTATAGGGCTGAATAGCTAGGGTCTCAGGGCCCAGACTTCTTCAGCCTGGCTTGACCACTTCGGCCTTTGCCAACAAAAATTGTTATTCACAAAGTGCAGGCCGCAGGGTTTCTATTTTGGGTTTATATTTTATACATGTAAATGTCGTGTACAAATTATATTCATAGTTAATCATGGAGTACACTAGATTAATGATAAAAAAAAATAAAAGTTCGAGGATCTTTCAAAATAAATATTTCAAAATTTTAATTATTAATTAGTTAAAACTATCTATTAATTAAGTTTTCTTAATTAATTAGGCCTTTTTTCAACTTTTTCTTTGTCAAATCTTTTTCTCACACCTTTTACACCTCAACCAAATAATTAGTAAACGTTAAAAATTAAATGTAATGCCTAAAATTTCTCGTAAAAAAAAAAATCAGCTTCTTTTTCCATTAAGCACAAAACCCCATCTTCTTCCTCCATGAAAAACCAAATAACTCGAAAACTTAAAATTTTTAATTTATGCATTAAAAGTGTATAAAGCTTTGGAAAAGTACTCCACCTAAGATAAGACAGACAATTCAGAAAATTAGCAATGACAATTTAAAAAATATGTAAGAATTATTAGCATTAATAAAATTACTTGCCTTTTTTCCTAGTCATTTGTGATCTGGATTTGAATTGCATGAACTGCCAGGATTGCACATGTAGGTAGATAGCATTAAATCCATCTTCTGATAGACCTCTTTCTTGTGTAATTGTGAATGCTGATACTGCAAAGTTTGCACCATGGGTGAAGTTGGACCTCAACGAATCCAGATATGGGCTGAGATAAGGCAAATCAAGACTTATAGCCAAACCATCAGTACATAACAGTCCAAAAATTGGCTGGACGGGTTCAAAGTAGAGAAAGATCATAATGGTTGAGGTTAATTGTCATCAAACAGTCGTTGCACTTCTTGAGCAGCTAAAACTGGGTTCAGGTTGAAAGAAAGCGAACGAAACAGGCCAAACACAGAGAGACATATATGATGTTGTTTGCGGGAGACTCCATGGCCATACGGGGAAATAATACTGGAAATATTACGTCACTTGTATGCTACCTCTCGAGTACGGGACCATATCGCCTTCACGTTTGACGTCACTAAAGCAGATTTTTATTTATATTAGGACTGATAATGAAAATCTGATACACAACTAGCTAGACATAAGTATGCAAAATTTATTACTGAGGTAGACACTTATTACATGACATACATTGTAACCAGTTCGATTTTGGTTTATTCATGTGTCTATGCTCAACAAAAAATGTTAATCTCAAGTCCTCTGGCATGCCCGTTTCAAAGGAACTGGTGGATCTGAGAACGATCCAGTTGAAATTTGATCAAAAACAAACTTGTTAGCTGCCTCAGTATAGTGAATTCCATCCCAAACTACGCGAACTGATGGACGTTTACATGATCCCACAGATATCTCGGTACCATTAACCGTAATTGTTCTTCCACATAGAGCTTGAGTGCTGTAGTTGTATTGCCCTCCATAGCCACAACATGTCACATGAGGAAGCTCAAATCCTGCAAAATAATTCAGAATGAGATATAAAACTAGCCCATACAATCCTTTATTTTTTCATAAAGTTCAGCAAACTTGTGCAGTCAAGGGGCATACCGTGTTTTTGGGGTTCAGCAAACAGGGAGTACTTGACAGAGTAAGTGTCTACATATGTGAATGCAGCTAAAGGAAATTCATTTTTGAGTTGAGCTAATGCCTCCTTTAACTTGAGATTAAAATACTGAGCTACGTCATTGTGAGGCTTTAAGCAACCGGCAGAGTCTTTTTCCTCTGAGGAAAATGCGGTCAGAATGTAAGGCAAGCAACCAATTGGTCCTGTGTTGTGAACCCAAAATGATCTTGCTCCTAAACCATATATATTCTGCAAAATGTAAAATAAAAAGAAAGCCAATACCTCATTCCATAAAATAAAATTCCAGAATTATTAGGCCCAAAAATTACAATTTTAAAAATGGATACACTTATGGTACCATGAATCAAATGCCTCAGTATAATTCTCAATTGGATTACCTTGATATTTTCAGAGAATTTGTGGACTATATCAGGAACGGAAGCATTGACTTCATTTATTGTCAAGTTTGCAAAGAACCCTTCACCAAGATCATTTTGGCCGATGTCAAAAGTGTATAAAGCTTTTGGCAAGTACTCTTCCTTGGGCAGTAAACTTGCAAGCAACCCTCCTATGAATGCAAAGGCAAAAAAAAAAAAAAAAGCAATGAAATCTTGCTGCAAATATTGATTATACCAACTGAAATCTACTTTCATTGAAAACAAAATGTGATTAAAGATGGTACTTAAAAATATTTACTCACCTTGTTCCTCAATCATTTCTGATGTGTTTTTGAATTGCACAAATTGTGAGTACTGTAGATCCAAATAGAATGGACTAAATACACCCTTAGGTATAACACTATCTGGTAGTCTGATTGTTGATGATACCGTGGCAAAGTTTATACCATGGGAGAAATTGGTCCCCAGTGAATCAAGATATGCATTAATAAATGGGAGACCAAAAGACTCAGCTGATACATTAGACGTCAAAAAGTAAGGAAGAGAACTTATAACCATGAAAAATCTATAACATTAATCAGTATGTTGACTAATGCTAAATGTAAGATTGTTATGAATTTGTTTATTTTCCTTTTAATTTTCAAATTAAACACACAAGAGCTGATATTTCATATGAAAACACTCTTTTCCTTCTCTTTCGACATGGTTCATCTCTGTGAACTTGGACTAATAATAATGATTAATGAAAGTATAACATACCTATGAAATCAATCAGAAGACGCCCATCGCAGAAACGGCCGGCAGGCATGTGAAAGTAGGTTTCTCCATAAGGAGAAGTGGGAGGAGAAAAGGCAGCAGCATATCCTCCAGTGTCCGAATTAGAGTCACCAAAGTTAAAGATGGCAAGAAAATCACAGCGTTTCTGTGCATAGACGACAGGGTTCAAAATGGTGGCATGGGGTAGGACGAGCATGAAATAGAAGAGGGATATGGCCTGTTTGGACATGGTGGGAAACTTCATAGCGTAGAAAAATTAACATAGGCGTACATAAGCTTTTGGGAAGGCATTAATGGAAAAAAAGGAGACGTTTGGTTTATGAATTGCTAAACGTGCACAAGGTATTTTCTTGGATAGATATCTTGGCCTTGACAAATTAGATAAATTTGACTGGTTGATATTGGAAATTTTTTAACTTTTAAGATTCAAAGCCACATTATTATTCATATGCGAATTAATGATAATTGCTTTGATTTCACTCAATTAAAATATTTTCTCAAGCAATACCAATTAAACTTGTTCACAAATCAATCCCATGGTTAATGCTATTCTATCCCCTTCTCAACTACAAGGAAACACCAAACAAAACAAAGTTATTTTCCCCTTCCACTCCATTACAATCTTCTAGGAATGCGTCAACACTTGTGGCCAAACTAGGTAGAAATTAAGTTGGATTTTTGATGTGATTATTGGCGGTGGCAAGCCATTTTCAAGGGAATAGGTGGATCTGAGAAAGCTCCAGTGGAAACATGGTAGAAAACAAACTTATTAGCTGCCTCAGTTAAGGGAACTCCATCCCAACTTACTCGAATAGATGGGTCTTTACATGATCCCACCGCAATGCTAGTGCCATTCACGCTGAGTGTTTCTCCACAGGAAGCAGCTTTGTTGTAGTTGTACTCACCTCCATGGCCACAACAAGCCACAAGCGGAAGTTGAAATCCTGCAAGTATTTAATATAAAATTTTAAAAAATCTACATAGTGAAAAATGAGTTGGTTAAGAAAATAGTAAAATAATCATGTTAATTACGCCAATAATTAGTACACTGAAGATTAGAATTGCGCAACTTAAAGCAAAACTTCCTAGTCCAACTTGTCCTACATACTAATTCTATTAATAGTAAGCTGTTGTGACAAAAAAAAAATCAATTATAATATCACGACATGTGACATATTTTTACTGATTAGTATTTGCAACATTAGCATTATGTTTTAAATTATATTAACATTAAAAAAAATAACATTAAATAATTAAAAAAGAAACTTCAAGTAGTATTCAAAATCCAGGTCATATGGCTTACCATATTTGGCTGGGCTAGTATACAGCGAGTATAAAGCAAAGTAGATGTCTACTTAAACAATTGTTGCCAGAGGATATTCATTCCTGAGCTGAGCTAGTGCCTTCTTCAAAGCCACATTAAAATGTTGAACTAGTTCATTGGATTGCTTTGCGCAACCAGCAGAGTCCTTTTCTGCCAATGGAAAACTGGTCAGGATTGCTGGATAGCACCCAATTGGCCTTGTGTTGTAAACCCAAAACGACCTAGATCCTAAACTGTATATATTCTGCATCCACAAATTAACCCAACCCTTTAATATGAATCAAACAAATACTAACAAAAATTGTGAACCTCCTCCCCCACAATCTTGCCCGAGAATTACCTTGATATTGTCTTTGAATTGGTTGACTATATCAGGGACAGCAGCTATGATCTCCGTTGCAGTCTTGTTGAGAAAGAGACTTTCAGTGACATCATTCTGTCCCATGTCGAAAGTATATAAAGCTTTGGCAAAATATTCCTTCCTCGTCATTAAACTTGATTATACTCCTCCTAAGAAGAAAGATCGCATCAGTGGCCTATATATGCTAAAATGTCTTTGTTGTTAACATTATTAATAGGAAGTCGCTCTGACTGCAACCGAGTTAGTGACGCCAAGCCAAAATTGAAGATTTGTGAAGATATGTTAAAATTTTAATTTTATTCTTCAAATTTCATTAGATTTTATTCTTAAAAAATTTTAATACTTTTTTATATCCTATAAAATATTTTACTATACTGATATAAAAATTTCTTTTAAGAATAAGATTCACTTAATTATTTATTTAATTATTGTACTTATTTTATATTTTTTCTCGAAGTCAAAGATTCTCACCATTCAAATCCAATGTCAATGAGTTAAAATTGACTTTATTCTTTTTGTTCCAATGTAAAAACATTTGTTTAAGACATCAAAACGTGTATAATATATATTTTTGATGTTGAGGCATATATTGACTTAAACATATAATAAATACCTACATTAATTTAGCATTTTCATAAATCAAGAAGATTTATTTGTTTTATACATGATTTTCTTTTAGGGAAATGGTGTAAGAATAAAATAGAACAACTTCATTATTTGTTTATTTTATTTTATTTTAATTTATTTCTAAGAAACATTTTTATTATCTATTATTTTTAATAGTTTTCTTATTTTTTACGAAACACTCCTTTACTTATTTCTTTTAATAATTCTTCTATTTTTTAGAAAAATACTCCTATTAACTATTTCTTTTATTAATTTTCATTTTTTTTTTTTTACGAAAACACTCTTTTATCTATTCCTTCTAATAATTTTCCTATTTTTTAGGAAAACATTTTTATTACTTATTTTCCTAATTTTTTTTAAAGAAAACTTGTTCTCCTATTTTCTCTAAAAAAAACTTTCACTACTTATTCCTTTTTTTTTTTTTAGAGAAATACTAATGTTACACTTTCATACATTACCTGTTTAATAGGAATTCTTTGATTTACAACATTAAAATTTACTTATTCTATGTATGAAACATTTTTTTATTTTCATCAAACAATTTTCATGCATATGGCAATGAATCACAAATATATATAATTTTTTTTTCTTTCATGAAACTTATATCATATATTTTTAAATTACAAGAATAAATATATTTTATTTTCATATATTTTTTGCTCTTACTGTTTTATTATATTAGTGCATGAGAACTTCTTATACTAGGAATTCTCATGCATGGGCAAAATATCGATAGTTGATTTTGGTTACTAATATTTTATTCTTTTAAATTTTTTTAAAGTTTTTAAAATTGAGAATAAGTCAAAATATGTATTAAAATTGTTTTAATGAAGGTTATTTTATGCAACAAATGATAAGATTATTTCAATGAAAGTTATTTTATGAAACAACTATTCATAAAATAACCTTTTTACAGAATAGTTATTTATGGAACAATTATTCAAGGAATAACTCCTTCACAAAATAATTATTTTCAGAACAACTTTATCAAGGAATAAAAGCAACACCTTTACTGAAAACTCTTGAAACACAAATTATTTCATTAAGAGTTATTTCATAAAAAACGCTTTACCAAATATTACTTCACTAAAAGAAAAAGTAAAAATAACCTAGAAATATGGTAGGGTTCTTGAGTTAATTTCACTATTGGGATGTTCTGAAGAATTTGACTTAATGGATCAGATATAAAGATAGTTAAGAGGTTTCTTCTTGACCTTTCTTTGAAATATGAGTGCTTTTTTTTTTTTTTTTTTCAGAACAGATAGTGAACTTTTATATTTACTATACCTATCACTAAAAGTTGATTAGACTCCCATTAATCAATACATTTATACATTTTGTAACAGTCAATTCTCTCATTATTCACCATTATTTCTATTCAATACTTAAGATATGTAACTATTATTCTTGAAGACCTATAAATAGAAGTTTCTCAATTCATTAGGAGACTTTTGGAGACTTTTGCCAAACTTACTCAATTATCTTTGCAATACTTTTTCTAAATATTTTTTTCAATCTCATTCTCTTTTTTACTCAGCCTTACTTCACCACTTACCACCACTTACCACCATTTACCTTTGCACTTAATACTTCAAAGTTTGCTCCAATCTTTCTGTTTGTCATCTCCTGGCACACCTTGTTTTATTTGTTTGTAACGCTTTCTTACCTTAACAAAGAACCTATTTACACCTCAAAAGCTACAGTAGACCACCAATGGGTGCTCAAATCCTAGAAATTATTCCAATAAAGCATAGTTAGCTAAATAATTGATGTAATAGTTGAATTCTAATGTTAATAATTTCTTATATGGATAAGAGTAACCGACCAGGCTTCTTTGGGTGGCTAAAGACTAAAGAGGGAATACTTGACTGAAAAAACATCTACGTAAGTGGTTGCAGCTAATAGAAGGTTGCCTCTCAATTGAACAACCGCTTGCTCAGTTTCCGATTAAAATACTGAGCCACTTCATTGTGAGATTTTGCACAGCCGGCGTTGTCCATTTGAGCTACTGCATCGCTTGGCAGATTGACCAAGCTGTATGGAAGGAAGACATTCGATCATCCAAAATGATCAATGGCTCCCAAATTGTGTAAATTCTGCAACAATACAACCATAGGATTTCATCCATTATAGCCCAAAAAAAAGCAGCATATATTCATATCTTAGTGCCAATGCGTCATGGCCAAGGGTAAGCCCATTCATCCCCAAGTATAGGGCTGAATAGCTAGGGTCTTAGGGCCCAGACTTCTTCAGCCTGGCTTGACCATCTTCGGCCTTGCCAACAAAAATTGTTATTCACAAAGTGCAGGCCGCAGGGTTTCTATTTTGGGTTTATGTTTTATATATGCAAGTGTAGTGTACAAATTATATACATAGTTAATCATGGAGTACACTATTAATAACAAAAAAATAAAAGTTGGAGGGTCTTTCAAAATAAATATTTTAAAATTTTAATTATTAATTAGTTAAAACTATCTATTAATTAAGTTTTCTTAATTAATTAGGCTTTTTTTCAACTTTTTCTTTGTCAAATCTTTTTCTCACACCTTTTACACCTCAACCAAATAATTAGTAAACGTTAAAAATTAAATGTAATGACTAAAATTTCTCGTAACATAAAAAAAAAAATCACAAAACCCTAGCTTCTTCTCCATGAAGAACAAAACCCCATCTTCTTTCTCCATAAAAAACCAAATAACTCGCAAACTTAAAATTTTTAATTTATGCATTAAAAGTGTATAAAGCTTTGAAAAAGTACTCCACCTAAGATTAGACAGACAATTCAGAAAATGAGCAATGACAATTTAAACATATGTAAGAATTATTAGCATTAATAAAATTACTTGCCCTTTTTCCTAGTCATTTGTGATCTGGATTTGAATTGCATGAACTGCCAGGATTGCACATGTAGGTGGAAAGGACTAAACCCACCTTCTGATAAACCTGTCTTGTGTAATTGTGGATGCTGGTACTGCAAAGTTTGCACCATAGGTGAAGTTGGACCTCAACGAATCCAGATATGGGCTGAAATAAGGCAAATTAAGACTTATAGCCAAACCATCAGTACATAAGAGTCCAAAAATTGGTTGGACGGGTTCCAAGTAGAGAAAGATCATGATGGTTGAATGGTTAATTGTAGCATCAAACAGTCGTTGCACTTCTTGAGCAGCTAAAACTGGGTTCAGGTTGAAAGAAAACGGAAGAAAGAGGCCAAACGCAGAAAGAGACTCTTAAATGAGGTTGTTAGCGGGTGACTCCATTGGCCATACGGAGAAATAATACTGGAAATATTATGTCACTTGTATGCTACCTCTCTAGTACGGGACCATATCACCTTCACGTTTGACGTCCATAAAGCAGATTTTTATTTATATTAGGACTGATAATGAAAATCTGATATACAACTAGCTAGACATATGAGTATGCAAATTTTATTACTGAGGTAGACACTTATTACATGACATACATTGTAACCAATTCGATTTTGGTTTATTCATGTGTCTATGCTCAACAAAAAAAGTTAATCTCAAGTCCTCTGGCATGCCCGGTTCAAAGGAACAGGTGGATCTGAGAACGATCCTGTTGAAATTTGATCAAAAACAAACTTGTTAGCTGCCTCAGTATAGTGAATTCCATCCCAAACTACGCGAACTGATGGACGTTTACATGATCCCACAAATATCTCGGTACCATTAACCGTAATTGTTCCTCCACATAGAACTTGAGTGCTGTAGTTGTATTGCCCTCCATAGCCACAACATGACACATGAGGAAGCTCAAATCCTGCAAAATAATTCAGAATAGATATAAAACTAGCGCATACAATCCTTTATTTTTTACATAAAGTTCAGCAAACTTGTGCAGTCTAGGGGCATACCGTGTTTTTGGGGCTCAGCAAACAGGGAGTACTTGACAGAGTAAGTGTCTACATATGTGAATGCAGCTGAAGGAAATTCATTTCTGAGTTGAGCTACTGCCTCCTTTAACTTGAGATTAAAATACTGAGCTACTTCATTGTGAGGCTTTAAGCAACCAGCAGAGTCTTTTTCCTCTGAGGAAAATGCGGTCAGAATGTAAGGCAAGCAACCAATTGGTCCTGTGTTGTGAACCCAAAATGATCTTGCTCCTAAACCATATATATTCTGCAAAATGTAAAATAAAAAGAAAACCAATACCTCATTCCATAAAACAAAATCCCAAAATTATTAGGCCCAAAGATCACAATTTTAGGAGAGGAAAAAAGATACACTTATAGAACTACGAATCAAACGCCTCAATATAATTCTCAATTGGATTACCTTGATATTTTCAGAGAATTTGTTGACTATATCAGGAACGGAAGCATTGACTTCATTTATTGTCAAGTTTGCAAAGAACCCTTCACCAAGATCATTTTGGCCGATATCAAAAGTGTATAAAGCTTTTGGAAAGTACTCTTCCTTGGGCATTAAACTTGCAAGCAACCCTCCTATGAATGCAGAGGCAAAAAAAAAAAAAAAAGCAATGAAATCTTGCTGCAAATATTGATTATACCAATTGAAATCTACTTTCATTGAAAACAAAATGTGATTAAGGATGGTACGTAAAAATATTTACTCACCTTGTTCCTTTATCATTTCTGATCTGTTTTTGAATTGCACAAATTGTGAGTACTGTAGATCCAAATAGAATGGACTAAATCCACCATTAGGTATAACACTATCTGGTAATCTGATTGTTGATGCTGCCGTGGCAAAGTTTATACCATGGGAGAAATTGGTCCCCAGTGAATCTAGATATGCATTAATAAATGGCAGGCCAAAAGACTCAGCTGATACATCAGAAGTCAAAAAGTAAGGAAGAGAACTTATAACCATGAAAAATCTATAACATTAATAAGTATGTTGACTTATGCTAAATGTAAGATTGTTTCGAATTTGTTTATTTTCCTTTTAATTTTCAAATTAAACACACAAGAGCTGATATTTCAAATGAAAACACTCTTTTCTTTCTCTTTCGACATGGTTCATCTCTGTGAACTTGGACTAATAATATGATTAATGAAGGAATAACATACCTATGAAATCAATCAGAAGGCGCCCATCGCAGAAACGGCGGGCAGGCATGTGAAAGTAGGTTTCTCCATAAGGAGAAGTGGGAGGAGAAAAGGCAGCAGCATATCCTCCAGTGTCCGAATTAGAGTCACCTAAGTTAAGGATAGCAGGAAAATCACAGTGTTTCTGTGCATAGATGACAGGGTTCAAAATGGTGGCATGGGGTAGGACGAGCATGAAATAGAAGAGGGATATGGCTTGTTTGGACATGGTGGGAAACTTCATCGCGGAGAAAAATTAGCACAGGCCTACATATGCTTTTGGGAAAGCATTAATGGAAAAAATAGAGACGTTCGGTCTATGAATTGCTAAACGTACACGTGGTATTTTCTTGACGCTGCCAAGATAGATATCTTGGCCTTGACAAATTAGATAAATTTGACTGGTTGATATTGGAAATTTTTGAAGAACTTTTAAAATTCAAAGCCACATTATTTTTCATATATGAATTAATGCTAATTGCTATGATTTCACTCAATTAAATTATTTTCTCAAACAATACCAATTAAACTTGTTCATAAATGAATCCCATGATTCATGCTAATCTATCCCCCTTTCAACTACAAGGAAACACCAAACAAAACAAAGTTATTTCCCCTTCCACTCCATTACAATCTTCTAGGAATGCGTCAATGTTTGCCTCAGTTAAGTGAACTCCATCACAACAATGTTTGTGCCATTCACGCTTGAGTGTTTCTCCACATGAGGCAGCTGTGTTGTAGTTGTACTCACCTCCACAGCCACAACAGGCCACAAGCGAAAGTTGAAATCCTGCAAGTATTTAATTTAAATTTCAAAAAAATAATCGTAAAAGTGAAAAATGAGTTGGTTAACAAAATAGTAAAATACTCATGTTAATTACTCCAATAATTAGTACACTTAAGATTAGAATTGCTCAATTTAAAGCAAAACTTCGAAGTCCAACTTGTCCCACATGCTAATTCAATTAACAGTAAGCCGTTGTGGCAAAAAAACAATAAATTATAATATCATGACATGTGACATTTTTATTGATTAGCATTTGCAACACTAGCATTATGTTTTAAGTTATATTAACATTAATAAAAAAAAAAAAAACTTCAAGTAGCATTCAAAATCCAGGTCATATGGCTTACCATATTTGGCTGGGCTAGTGTACAACGAATATAAAGCAGAGTAGATGTCAATATAAACAATTGTTGCCAGAGGATATTCATTCCTGAGCTGAGCTAGTGCCTTCTTCAAAGCCACATTAAAATGCTGAACTAGTTCATTGTATTGCTTTGCGCAACCAGCAGAGTCCTTTCTGCTAATGGAAAACTGGTCAGGATTGCTGGATAGCACCCAATTGGCCTTGTGTTGTAAACCCAAAACGACCTAGCCCCTAAACTGTTTATATTCTGCATCCACAAATTAACCCAACCCTTTAATATGAATACAAATGCTAACAAAAATTTTGAACCCCCTCCCCAACAATCTTGCCCGAGAATCACCTTAATGTTGTCTATGAACTGGTTGACTGTATCAGGGACAGCAGCTATGATCTCCGTTGCTGTCTTGTTGAGAAAGAGACTTTCAGTGACATCATTCTGTCCGATGTCGACAGTATATAAAGCTTTGGCAAAATATTCCTTCCTCGTCATTAAACTTGCATATACTCCTCCTAAGAAGAAAGATCGTATCAGTGGCCTATATATGGTAAAATGTTTTTGTTGCTAACATTATTAATAGGAAGTTGCTCTGACAGCAACCAATTTAGTGACGCCAACCCAAAATTGAAGATTTGTGAAGATATGTTATGTTATCAATAGGAGCTTAACTCAATTGATTCTTAAGTGATAACATCTAATTAATATATATAACGTCTTCTCCTATTATTATATTAGGCTTCTTTTGTAAAAAATATATACGTGCGAAATTACTTACCTCGTCTCTTAAGCATCTGGGACCTAGCTTTGAATTGGGCAAACTGTAATATTGTAATCGCAAATAGAACGGACTGAATCGACCATTGGGGATAATCATCTGTGGTAATCTTATGGTAGATCCCACGGTCGCAAAATTCGCACCATGCCTGAAATTGCTTGCTAGTGAATCAAGGTATGCGCTTAGGAATGGGAGACGCATACTCTCAGCTGTACCACAAATAGTAACATACACAAGTTATAGTTGAAAGCATAAGGACTGAAGGAAAAATTTTATGAAGCAAAGAAATATATACGACTGAAGTACACAAACTGAAAGTTGAAGGCCGTGAGGGTATACTAACCGGTGAAATCAATGATGAGTCGTCCATCGGATAACCTTCCTGCAGGCATGTGAAAAAAGGTGTCTCCGTTAGGCGACTTGGGTTGATTGAAGGCAGCAGCGAAGGCACCAGTATCCGAATGGGAGGCACCAAAGTTAACGATTGCAGGAAAGTGATAACTTTCCGATGCAAAAACATGATTCAATAAGATAGCACAACGTGTAAGGAAGGTAAAAAAAATGAAGAGATTCCTGGTATGTTTATTCATGGCAGGGAGCAAAAGAATATTAGAGATACAAGCTTGATTAAGTAGGGAAATATTAGATACTGAATCAAATTCTAACTGGGATTCGTTGGATTGTTAAAATTCTATTGCTCAGATAATTACTTAATGATTAAGTTTATTTATAAAAAAAATATAGTTAATAGGTAAAATTTTTAGTAATATGAATTTTTGATAACTAAGCAATAGGTTTTATAAATATAAATTGTAGTATTATAATAAAAAAATTATACGTGGTACGTTCACATAAATATAGAATGGGTCTTGGATTTTAAAATTATGAAAGAGATTTCCAATCACTATGTAATCTTTACGCGGGAGATGGTGTGAAAAAAATCGTTCAAAACAACGGGTTTACACTAAGAAGCGTGCAAGCTAACATTGTTTTGGGATTTGAAATTAGTGTTAATTTATTATATATTTTGTTTTTTGTAATCTCTATATTTATAATTGATTTTTTTCTCATGAGTAGATATAAATAATTTGAGTCTAATCTCATTAAATATTACTTTTTTTTATGTGATTTGTTTATATTTGAAAAATCTCAAGAAAAACTTATCACATAATTAAGTTCGTTTATATAAAAACTAAAGGGATACCCTCACTTTGTTGAAGGCACAAATTTTTTATATTTTTATAATTTTTTAATTTATCTTTTTATGCTAACATGCAATAAGATAAGAAATTTTGTATACAGAATTGAATTTATACAATAAGATAAAAAGTTTTTGAGAAGATGTAAAATTAAATTTATGTATTATCACTTGACAGTCAATATAACATTGACAGTTTTAAATCTTAACTAGATAAAAATTTGTTTGAGAATCAGAGTGAACAAATCTGATGCATTTCCTTGAGTATACCTTGGCACCACTAAACCAGTAAAGCCCTGTTCTAAAGGATAAGGTTTTTAATCAGATTCCATTTTCAATTAATTAAAGAAAACAAAATCAATGATCAAATTTCAGACAAGTTGAATAAAATAAAATGAAAAGGCAGATCGATCACTATCAAAACCTTCTCTTCCTAGCACCAAAAGGAAATTACAGAAGCCTATTAAAGTTATACAAAAAAATAAAGTAAAATGATTATAGATGCGGCTAGTGTATAGAAAAATAATTCATTTGGTCAAATAAAAGCATTTGTGAAATTATAATATAATTTTAATCCCATTTCGTTGATTTTTGTAAAGAATGCCTTTTCTTACATTATTAGATATATTTCATTATTCTCCAATTGAACCATTGAAAATCAAAAGTAATTAAAAATGAAAATAAAATGAAACACTAAAAACTAACAATCATGCAATAATAAAATTTCAATTATACTTACATGTATATGTATCTTATCTGAATTTTTATTAGAAGAAACCAATCTAACCAGTACATTTTCTTCCTATTATTGGTTTCAATTGGATTTCTCAACTTTAATTAAGTTATCAAGTCTTCATTAACAATTAAAATATATTCTTTTAGATACAAAGTATAATAAATTTCAATGATCTAGCAACCAGTATTTTTATTTTTTGTTTTTTTTCCTAAAGATTTGTAGGCAATTAAATAGCATTCCAAAATCAAGCCTTAAACCATAAAGAAAATTTAGAGAAGGCAAAAAATTGGACAAAGAACACAAAATTTTGAACATGCAATCAAAACCTACTAAAGATTATAGGTGAAACTATCATAATAGTCAATGACGATAATGGGATTCTTGCTATTTTTCTTATTATCCAAAACTGAAGAGGTTGAATCTGATACAGCAGATGCCAATGATATTATTCCAACAACCCAATTCTCTTTTTTGGCAAAAAACCAACCCCTGCAAAACAAAACAAAACAAAAAAAGAATAGTCCTTTGATACTTTATACACACAAAAAAAATCTCAAAAAGGAAAAAAAAAAAGACTTAATGGAAGAGAGAGCCTGGATAGGTAAGATAGAGAATGAAGTTAGGGGTGACCAACATGCAGAAGAAATCATAGAGAAACAAGACTTCTAACTAACCTACGACCTTCAACCAACCCTTTTACAGCCTTCTCCAAAAAATCTTGAACCTTTTGACTTCTTTTTGGATTGAATCCCACAAATTCTAGAGCCTTGACCTATAAGAGGGAAAAATTACAGGTAAACGCTTATGAACTTAATATGACCCTCTCGTCCAAGAAAATCATTTTTTATAAAGTGTATCATGAGAATGGAAAAGTCTTTTGAAGCTTTTATCATATTTTTAGTGATGAAGCATCAAATAGCTGTTAGATGGAAGCTACTCAATGAGAAGTGATTTTTATCTAAAACAAATACAAAGGGACAAGAGAGTCAGCATCAAGATCTTTCTCCTATATAACCAAGAAGACAAAATGGAAATAATTACTGGTTATATTCCATTTCTAATTAAAATTAAAAAAAAAAGTGAAGGAAAGGGGGAGAAAAGTAAATATTCACCTCAAAACCAACCTTTTTTTTTATAGTATTCAGCCTATCTATTCAACCTGATGTCTGGAAGACTATCATTGATATTAATTTTTGCATTTGTAAGTAAAACTTTCATGTAAGATCAACTAATGGATACACAATAAACTAAGGAGCATTTTCATGCTGTTTAGATGCCCACCTTAATTTTTTTATGTTCATGATTATACGGATAAAAAGAATCAATCATGCACCACTCATATATAACAAAACACTGACCAGCCTTTAGTAGTCTGTAAATCTCCTTATAGCATCCATACTACACAACATAAATAATAATCAAATCAAATCAAACCAAAACA